AACTTTAATATAATATAGATTAATCACTAATCTACCGGTCCAATTATTAATTTGATTATCCTGCTCAATTTGAAAACTTTATATTTAGAAATTAGAATACACTCATTACATCTCTTCGTGTATATTTGGTTTACAAGTCAATGTTTTTTCCGTTTATCAAATTTTGTTCACTAGTTCTAAATAGAGTAGTGGAACCATGGATGGAAATATTAACATTGACAATGTCATGTTCGTTGATTCTTTTACATTTGTTGTTCTTTCTCTTTGTAAAGATAATTTTTACCTTTGGCCAGTTCCAAATCTTGGACCCTGTCTTACAAGTTGGCCATTGCTAAATTATGGAATGTCTTATACAAGCTATCCTTTAAATTTTTTTGTGATCTCTTTCAAACTTTATGGTGCGTATTAGTACTATCCTCTCTTCTATGTCAATTCTATCTTTCAAATTAAACTAATATATTCTGCTTTTAATGATGGGTGGTAACAAGTTATACATCTTGTTTGGAGTTGTGGAGCGTTATAAAATGCGCTTTCTAGTCCAAGATTTCACCAAATCATTATTTTTTCATAAACAATTGGAAAAGAACCCCAGGGACATCAGATGCCTCCGTATGCACTTTCAAATGACTTGGCCACATCCGTTAAGTATGCTGCTGCACGCTAAGCAATATTCCATTGAAAACATGATTTTTCAATGTATCAAACCCTTTAATCCATGTTCATATCATCGCAGCATAGTAAAGATATCAATCCAAATCATAGAGAGATTGTGTCTTAAAAGAATGCCAAAAAGCTTTAAGTCAAGAACAAAGACTTGGTTTTTATGAAATCCGAAAGTTCGACAGTTAAATAAACGAACTTGAACAGTAATTAACAGTCCGAATCTAAATCTAAAGACAAAGATTTCGTTTTTAAGCTAAAAGATAAGAACTTGACAAAGGAAATGAAGAAAGGCGACTCCTTTAGGTGAATGCGATAGATTATCGAGCTAAAGGAAGAAGCTCTGAGCTTAAAGATTAGAACCAAGCTTCTAGGCCGAGGAAAACAGAGGGAAAGCTCCTCACTTCGTGAATGGGGCTTAAATGTGAGGTTGCAAACCAAGAACTAGCTATCACTAGTGACCCGAGACACACACAAGCATGAAGCTTAAATCCTCTTTACCAAAGAGCCTTCTAAAACAATCGCTATCGCGAGCTAGGAAAGCTAATCCCTTGACTTAGATGTTCGAGTCTTCAAACACACTTTTGCTGTGTTGAGTCCTTGAGATCTGAGGCAAGATGATCAGAAAAGACTCAGCCGTAAGAGCACTATAGCAAGGAGAAGTTCTAAAGGTCCTAACTTTAAACAACTCTCTAATCCGCACCACCTAAAAGAATCTAAGTGACTACTCACTAGACATGTTTAGTGAACCAAATCCCATAAAGGAAAGATCACTAAACAAGCAAGCAAAGATTAAAAGATAGATCTAAACAAGTATGTGATTTTATTAAGAAGAAGAGATGAAATCTTACAAAGTTTAAGATCTCAAAACTAGAGTATTTCTTGGTGGAAAAAATGAAAGACAAATTACAAGATGCCTAAAACTTTAGGACATAAAAGATTATATAGTGGACTCTAAAACCCTTCTTCTTCCTTCCCAAGATTTTAGGCTCCAAAACTCGGCGTTTTACTTTGGCTTGGTCTATCTTGACTAAGGTCAACTCTCTTCTTGGTCAAGGCAGACTTAGAAGGCGAGAATCGGGTTCTCCTAACCCGATTGATATCCTGGTCGAGAACTCCCTTGATGTCTTCAACACTCCATATTCCCAATTAGCTCCGAAACTCCCCAAAAGTACCTGATTTAGACTCCAAAATGCAATGTATATGCAATGCAGATTCAAAGAGGATGCAAGTGTATAAAGAGAGATATGAAGACCTAAATGTATGCAAATGAGACTTAGACAATGTAGATATGTATGTAAATGCATGCTTAAATGAGTTAATATATGGCTATATCATCCATCTCTCGAATTCTGACACTAACCTTCTCATTGTGGATCACCCACTTGTTGGAACAGGGACATGTACAATCTGAAAACCGACTCGAACTCGAAAAAACGTGAACCAAATGCGAACCAAAATTCAAAATACCCAATTAGTTTTCTATGTTTCTAAATCCAAAAATTTATAGCCTGATTGGTTGTGTTTGTAGCTTTGGATTTTTTGCTGTAGAATTTAGGATGTAGATTCTTTTGATGGGACTGTAGATTTTAGTGCTGTAGAATTTTTCTTATAAATAATTTCTTATAAAATATCATAAATGTAGCATTAAAAATAAATAAAAGAGATATAGGAAAGAAACATTAAAAAAATAAATATAGAGAATGAGATTAAGGAATGAGAAGAGAGAGAATTCTCATAGTCCTTAAATGTGTGCTCTGGAAAATCTGTTATGCAGAGCCAAAATATTTCCCTATTTAAAATTATGACTTTGAACGTAAATAATGAAATCAAAGCTTGATTGGTTTAACACTAGTGCTCTAGAAAAAATTATTGCTCCGTAGAGCATTCAGAACACTTACCAATCACGCCCTTAATATCCCACATATCACAAAAAGACCACTGGAACCATCTTATATGCATCAGGAATATGTGTCACAGTAGAGCGAACTTAAGGATCGATGGAGGTATGAATCCACCCAACAATCATCGAGTTTGTAGAAATCCATCGAGCTAGGTCAGGGTTTGACTCTAGTTTAGGAATCGAACCATCAATGAAACCAATCTTTTCTTTGGCTTGAAGTGAAACAACCAACATTTTTTTTTTAATTAAATTAAATAACAATTCAGCGGAAGTCTTTAAATAAATAAATAAATAATAAATCAGGTTCAACAAATAAATTCAAATAAATAATTAAAGAAATACTAGCAACCTAAACACCAGTACTAGCAAGTCAAATAAATGCAAAACAATAAAACATTAAACATCCTATCATCCCCCTCTTCAGCCTTGATTCCGCGATCACACAAATCTTTTACCTGCAACACATTGGAATGGAGTTGCGTAAGTATTTAATAAATACTTAGTGAGGCAATCACTCTGCCTACAGGCCAATTACGCAATTTACTAGATATTTAATAATATTTATAAACTCCAATAATTATTAAATACCATTTTCCAATTATTAAATAATTTTAATAATTAAAACTTCATTTCTCAATTATTAAATAATTCTCATAATTAAATAATAATTTTCCATATTTTAAAATAATTAATATATTATTTTAAGCCATTTAATTAATTAAAATACTCATTAATTAATTAAATACGAATTAAACCAAATAACCAGATAACCAGATTAACCAATTAAATTAAATCAATTTAAACCAATTGTCGACCGACACCGGTCAGTGTCGAGCGACACCAGCCACTTGTGTCGATCGACACCAGCTTGGTGTCGACACTCACAGCCCGATGCCAACTTCAATAAAACAGCACGAAAATCACATAAAACACCAAATCCACACGAATTACACCCAAACAACACTAGATAACACATAATCAACATGAACAACTCAAGAACAATCAACCAATCAAACCAAATCTAGCAATTGCGGACCTACAGTCATGCACTCACCTCAAATCGGATTGAAAACAGAGAAAGGGGATGAAACAAGGAAGAACAGCAACAAGGAGCCTCAGATCGACGAAGAACTCCGGATTTCAGCTCGAAATCGCCTCTCTTCTCCTTCTCCAGTCCGCAAAACGACAAAAGAGAGGAAGAGGAAGCGGCTGCAGCTTTTTATTTCGAGTTCTAGGGCTTCCTGGGCCCAAACCGGCCTAAACCGAACTTAAATTGAACCAGAAATTGATTTTAACCATTGGTGTCGACCGACACCAAAGAAAAATCTCAATTCTTTGGTTTACGGATGTTACATGAAGAGAGTTCCATAGCTCGGTAAACCACTCCGAATAATTCTCTCCACGAAGAAGAACAGATGTTATCAACGCCCCAGGTTAGTCAGACGGATGTAGTGTGTATGGAGAGTACGATGAGGAGATTGTAGAGGTAAGAGTCGAAGTAGTAGAAGAATTAGCATCAGCCATAGTAGAAAAATTGGTAGCACCAATAGTAGAAGAATTAGTAGCACCAATAGTAGATGGTGTAGTAGGACAAAAAGTCGATATGGTTTTGAGGAAACAAAACCTTATCAAGGAATAGGTTCAAGAGAAAAAAAAATCTAGGTCAAAAATCGTTCTGTTTTTATACCATGTAATCTATATTATTATTTGCGAAGCGATTTTTAGGAATTGAGTTCTCTCATTCACTCTCACAAACAATTACCTTAATAACCTTAATAAATTTTCTTAATTATAAAAAATTACAATTTTAACATTATATGTGTAAACCACTAAACCCTAACTACTATCGATATATATCATCCACTTTTCACAAACCTGCTATTATATTAAACCTGTAAACAAAAAAGTGTATTTATATATGTTCTAAACTCATTAAAATTGGCCGTCTTCTTTATCATCTATGATTGTTTTTGATTGCTTATTGTTATTTGTTTCTCTTAGGCTTTCTTGTGTTTTGTATATTGTTATTTAAGGGTTGTTTCAGGATTCTTTCTTATGGTTTTTTTGTTCATGCCTGCTTTATGATACATTATTCCAGCCATAATTGTTTTTGTTGGCTTCTCAGTTCTCATTGTGTTTGGAACTGTGACATAAAACGGGTAGGTGACATAAAATCGGCCAGTGATATCATGCTTTATTGCAAAACTAATAAGATGGGATCATTATATTGAGCTTATGGGTTATTTTTGTTTTCTTTTGCAGTTGATTGCATTGATGAATCGAAGACTATTGAGGATTGTGTGAACCGAAATCCGCACAATAGATTCAAGATATGTTTTGAGAGAGGAACTAGAAATTCTAAGTATAACACAAACGAAGATCCAAAGATGGTTGTTTTATTGATGTAAAGTGTAAAGTGTTTTGCAGTGGAAAAGTGATGTTCGAACCCTTTCGGTTCGATCTCTATTTATACAAGGTATAGAGCCGACTCTTTGCGAGATTCTCTAAAGATATTCTAAAGATTTCCTCTTCTGTGCTGCGGCGCCGCTCCTTTGTCTCTCACCTTCGTCTAGGGCGAACTGTGAATCTCTTTTTTGGGTTTGGGCTCAAATCGCTGAGGATGGATGTCAGTTCGGCACAAAGATAGTTACAGCTCGGCCCATACTCGATCGATCTCCTCTCCCCGTGGGCTCAGTCGAATGCTGTTGTGTCGGGATCGAGCTACTGTGCAGTGACGGGATCGATCGAGCTACTGTGCAGCTACGGGATCGATCGAGCTGGTGCTGCAGTAACGGGATCAATCGAGCTATTGTGCAGTGACGGGTTCGATCGAGCTGGTGCTGCAGTAACGCGATCGATCGAGCTACTGTGCAGTGACGGGATCGATCGAGCTACTGTGCAATGACGGGATCGATCGAGCTGGTGTTGCAGTAACGGGATCGATCGAGCTACTGTGCAGTGACGGGATCGATCGAGCTACTGTTGCAGTAACGGGTTCGATCAAGCTAGTGCTGCGATAACGGGCTCGATCGATCTACTGTTGCAATGACGGGATCAGGTCTCGTACTGCAACAATAGTACTGCAGTGGCAGAGCTTGTACCAGTACAGGTCGCCTTACTTTAGTTCTCCCTTCCTTGGCATGCGTCATGCTTTTATCGTTGAACTCGATGGGAAGTATTCCGACCCCAACAAGGATGTTAACAAAAAAAAAAAATCATGAAGGATAAACACAAATTACCAAGTGGCTATAACTCGACTAGTAAAAGGACTCTAGGCAAAGCTTAGAGGTCATAGGATCGAGCGCCGATTGGGACGAAACCAATAGTACATGATGTGGTTTCGGGTCTAAGGGGATGTACGGGCTTCGGCCCAGAACCTCTTAGTAATTAAAAAAAAATGATTACAAAATAGAGAAAGAAGCGCAGAAGAGAAAACAATTATACGTAGAAATGTGTTTTTTTTTGCTCAATTGATTATTGGGAAATTATATTGAGAAATGTGTTTTTATATATGGAAAGAAAAAGGGAAAACTATTTTGTTTCCAATGAATATTGGATAAAGTTAATAATAGAAAATTTGTGGTATAATATATTTAGGATATTTGGTTTTCAAAATCGTAGTCTCAAATGTAAAATTTGAAACGAAAAATATTAAGATTTATATTTTTGGGTGAAAATTTGTGGAGTTGTACTTTGGAGAAAGAAATTTTCCGAACAACTTTTAATGTTAAAGTTTTCAACGGAAAATTTGCAGACTTAAGTTTTGGTGGAAACAGCAAAATTATAGTTTTTGTATTAAATCCCAAAATCTGGTTTTTGTATTAAATTCCAAAATCTGGTTTTTGGACAAAAAAATGTTTATTACAAACATATAATGGATATTACTATTTGCTTTCTCCATGTGTATTTTAGTGAATCTTTTCCTTTGCTAAATGTTATTAGTATTATTTGTAAAGGTCTAAAATTGAATCATAACCTTTTGAACAAATTACATAATTGATGTATTTTGAAAATGTGAAACAACCAAAATATAATAATACACATAAATAAAAAAAATCAAATATTCAACCATTATTCCAAAAAAAACTAAAATATTTTGAATCAACAATGGACACAATATGCTTATTAATATATTAAAATATTCATATTGAATTATAAATGAACAGAACAGATACGAATCTGAGATAATATAGAAAATGGTATATCTATCCAATAATAATTTATTTGTAGATATAAAAAATTGAAAATTAATTTAATCATGTACATTAGGCGTATGTGATCACCTAGTCGTATCTGATATAAGTGAGTTAAGATCATTTTATTTTCTTTGATAATAATGTGTTTTTATTTTTTTGGGGCTAAAGATCTGTCTATTGAAAATTCGTCATACACTACGTATTGGAAAGAATACCAATGTCTAACATGTGAAAACGGAAGAATCCAGGACCTAACATCTGAATGTTCCACCTGTGGAGCTACTTCAAACTCTTTCCTAAGTTTTTGTTCAAATGCCTTGATTCAAAAGTTCTCCAAAACTAAGTAAATTAAGTGATGAGCCACTGTCCACTATAACAAATACCCCCTTTTATAAGAGACGATTAACACTGTTATATTGTATACATAGTGTTTTCACATATGCTATAAAAACCTACGCTATAGTAGAGTACTACTATATGATAGCGTTTTTGTACAACCGCTATAATAGCTGGTGGTTGTAATAGCACTTTTAGTTTGCTATATGAAACTAATTGATAACAAAACTATACTGCTATATAAAAATTAGCTATAACTATTTAATATCCCTATGACTATGGCAATCATAGCCTACAATTTTCGCGATCATTTTAGCAGTATTAGCTTTATAAACTTGTTATTCTTTCACATTTTGTAACTCTGGTTTAGCGCTGTTTCTATGAGGATAGTAGCTCATCGTTATTGCTACTAATGCAGCCTTTAACGACCAAATTTAGCCGCTATTGTCACGGTCTAGAAAATCAATCGAGTTTCCAGTAGAATCACCACAAACCAAAAGGATTTCGACAATATACCAGATTTACAAACAATAAAAACAATAAGAACAAAGAAAGACTGAGATTGAAACATAAATTTCTCATAAAACTAAAAACTTCTTTTAAGAACAATATCGATACATCATACAATACCAAATGTCATAGTAAATCAGAGAAATCTGATTTGTCTCAAATACAATACTTAGTTCAAACACAAGAGATAGGTACATATGAATGGGAACAGAGAGTAGTCCACAAGACTGACGTCACATCAAAGGACAACAACTTTGTTCTCTGGCCATGCTATTGTCGTTCCAATAGCATCCTCCGTACACTCTATTGCTGAAGTTGGCTTCCAAACCGCTGCGTCATTGACCTTCACCACATCCACCCACACGCGAACCGCATTAGGTCCCAAAGGAACAAAATGCACAAGCTGTTCAGGGTTGTTCGAAGACCAGCGCCCTTCAGCGACAACCCTCGTCCGTCCACTAATGTCCAGCAGTCTGCATTTTTTATCTTCTTTCACATGCTGATGAGGACTACTCTTCTGCCTGTAAGTAACTCACCAGTTTCACCATTCTTCTGTATTCCAAGTTAGACGAACAAATATAGAAAAATACATGATGAGATGAAGTTGAAGGAGATTTTGACATTGGTTTTGAACTCTTGACAGGAGCAGCAGGCGTAACTCCTTGCATACGAGGAGATACAATGTACGGTGACTCCGTACGTAAGTCCTCTACTAGAACATGAACTCGGTTCACTGGTCATGCTACAAAGGACTTCAAAGACTCATTAAGATTTGACTGTTCTTCAGTGGGTCACCAGAGAAAGGTATCGGGTTGTATCACCTCATCTACAAAAACATTAATGGTACTTGGTCCAAGAGGAAGGCCGTGCACCAAAGTTTTGGGATCACGACTCTGCCAACGGCCTTCGGCAACCGGTTCATCGTCATTTGTTAGCCAATGTAGAAGTTTGCACTTGTTCAAAGAGGTTGTGCTTGGGCTCTCTCATTCACATTAGTCGGAAAAATTTCTCGCTATTAGCTAGCTAAACTTTAACTACCATAAATCACGAATGAGGATCTGGTTAATAAGAATGTACCTTTGGCGGAATATCTTCTAAGTCTAACTCCTCAGCAAGTGATACAACACAATTCTGAGGCCACGCAATGGTCTCTCCTACAGCTTGGGCAATAGTATACATATTCTGAGCAGGTCTCCAAAGAAAGGCATCTCCTCTAATCATTGTATCAACAGACACCTTGACGGAAGTTGGCCTTAATGGTATGTTGTTGACGAAGTCCATGTGATCAAAAGATAGAATGCGAGCCTCATCAACTTTATAATCGAACCAGACCAATCAAATAGAATACACTTGGTGTGCTTCCTTTGGTTTACAGTCTACAAAAAAAAATTACTCTTACAACATGTGAACTTTTACTGACAAGTAACAAAGACTATCACTTTCGAATAAAATGCTTACTTTTGCTGCCGAGTTTTCACCCACCTCAATCTCTGGACGCTGAAAAAAGGTATATCATTTTCCGTAACATAAGGCCATACAGATGAACAAAAATGATATTTGTGTAGAAACTTACGTGGCTATTATTTTCGCAAGAGTCTCCTGTAATTCATGGACTTGCTGCTGCAATTGAACCTGAGCTTGTTGCATTTCTGTGACATACTTGCTCTTCACCTGGAAACAAGCAAGCTTGCTCATACTCATTCCGTGACCCATTGCCCTGAGTCGTCCATGGTTGTCAGGTCCTAATATTTGCGCTAGGCAGTCTTCTTTTGGGTTAGAAAACGACGACAACAGAGTATCAGATTGAATGAACTCATTGGCCTTTTGCTGGTAAGAGTTTGATTAAAACAGTCAAGTGTCAAACATTTACTGAGTGCGTCTCTTACAATGAAAAGAAACTTAATAGTTTAGAAGCAGCATTCGTGTTTATTGCTGTCCCATCCTTCTTAGTCTGTGACTTCACTCATACATTCAGCCGTGTAACTTCGGCTGGTTCTGGGCTTTCTTTTTTCTGCACAATGAAATGTATCCAATTCGTAACACATTTTAACAAAACTCAGCATTACCAAAAAGATTCACATGAAAGAGTGATAGTTACCATGTCCTCTGCCAATCTAACCATCCCTTTACGACTACAATTGTGAGGAATTTGCTTACTCCTTCTTTCCTTGTATGAATCGATAACAGCCTAACTCGGAAATTAGTACACATTAAAGGCACATACCACTTAAACGTAAAAGTTATTACCTTGAACTCTTGGCTTGTCTTTAGTTTAACAAACTTCCTCCATTCTGCAGTTGGAATATTGTATGGCCTTAGCTTCATTCGGTCCGAATGATTCTGCGCATCTCGTATTTGTTTAACCAGCCTTGATTAGATGCCCTCCATAAGCATCCCATCTGCTTCATAACAGCCGCCTTCTCATATTCTCCGTCAAGATCAAACCGTAACTAAAACAAATATGAAAAGGTTATCTTAACAGTATGTAAGAAAGATTTAACTGATGATAATTAAAAAGGATGAATGGATTACACCTTCACAGATTTCCACAAAACAGTCTTCCGCTCTTCACCAATCTTTTTCCAATCATCTATCAGTACGGGAACATGTTCGCGTACCAATGGACCTAAGTACGACGACAACTTCACTGATCCTTCTCCGCATGGCTCACCTAACCCAGTGAACTCCACTCTTATTTTTGCATTAGGATCCCTAGCAATATCCTTCATCTTGGTTAGTCCCCTGTGTTTTTTGGGTTGTGGCTGAGCAGTCTCCTCAGTTTCCTCTGGTACAGCATTCGACTCTTTCTCTGCTTCACGTTCTGAAGGCTCCTTTTCACTTTCTGACCCAATATCAGTTCCTTGCCTCTCATCAATTGGAGTGTTCTGAAGAAGTGCTTCATCTGGAAAGCCTCCTTCTGCCCATGCGGGTATGGAGCCAAAAAATTCATGCTCTGAATTGTCCACCTGATTCTTCTTTCTCTTTGTTCCCTTGGCTGTCTTGACCATCTTGTTCCTTCTGTAAACTCGAGGTTTAGAAAACGTTAAACAAACAAGACTATACAAAAGCAAACTAAAACATATAAATGCCAATACCCTAAAAAGAAACACAAATCCCTTTAAAATGCAGAAGAAAACTCAAAGAAAATACTAACTATACACAAAGCAGTCAACTGTCAATGAAAATGAAAGCAATACTAACACACTCAAGACAACAGGCAATAAATGTATCAATTCCGTCACACATATATTCCTTCACAGTCATCTCAGACATTTTGAGAATCATCTGCCAAGTCTTCCTGATTCATATCAACGATTGAAGGCAACGGTCTAACATCCATATGACCTCCTTGTAAATTATCATCACTGTATCTTCTCGGAGGACCCCTCATGACTACATACCAACTAGACTCATCACTTTCCCTAGAGTAGAATATCTGTTTCGCTTGGGAGGCTATAATGAATGGATCTTTAGCAAATGAAATTTGGCTCTGATTCATATTAACCATCGTGAACCCATCTTCTACTTTAACACCGTTGCCTCTAAACCCATTGACACCGAAATATGGGAACGTAGAATACGTTATAATCTAACAGTATGATATCTAACACCTTCCCATAATATGATACTAGATCAACTACTTGAGCCACGTCCTTAGCACTAGATCTACACATTGTTGTTGCCTCGTAGTAAACACCACTATTCTGACTAAGTCTATTTGTTGAGGCTATATGAAACCTCATGCCATTGATTATATAACCCGTGTAAGATCTAGCTACACTATGTGGACCATATGCTATTCATTTAGGTGTTTCGGCCTTGTCTTCAGCATCAAGAAGTATCTAACAATACCAAAGCATCATAATAAGTAATTAACTACAAACCCAATAATTGAAACAAATTCAAATACAAATATAATAGAACGTGCTTGTTGCTTTAGCCATGATGCGAATTTCTGTGTGTGCATACTCCATAGGTAAGTTGCATCACGTATACATCTAATGTTAGTGTCCTGAAGATGTTGGAGATGAGCACTTACATGTGAAACAAAACAAAACAAAGTAATTTAGACCGTAATTGCGGAAATAACTAAAATAAATGCATAGTCAAAAGAGAAAAACGTACTTGACATACGGTTTCACCATAGCCGTGTTTGTATTACCGCAAGGTGTGCTATCTTCTTATCTGTCTTGGTAAGAGTGAATGATGTTCCAGTCGATAAAGGACGACCTTCTAGGATGGATTCACTCTCATTCAGTGTTCCTATCGTCTTTGTCTACCACATTGGTTGTCTTCTTCAAGAAGGTATAGCAAAACTGCATACATTCTTCTGCAAGATAGGACTCGGCAATACATCCCTCCGGTCTTGTTGTGTTTCTCACGTAGTCGTTCAAAACTTTCATGTACCTGCTTATAACAAACATGTAAAGAAATCCCAATATTATCAATACTGTAAATAATCATCAAAATATGAGTGAATAAAATGGAAAAATATAACCTTTCGAATGGGTACATCCATCGGAAATGCACCGGACCACCTAATCTGGCTTCTCTTCCTAAATGTATACATAAGTGAACCATGATGTCGAAGAAACTAGGAGGCCAAAATCTTTCAGAAATACAGATAGTTTCCACAATCTCCGTCTCCATTTTCTGGAGCTGTTCCATATCAATCACACGTTGACACAGAAGGTTGAAGAAGGCGCATAACCTAAAAATAGCTATCCTAGACCCTTAGGCAGTAGCTGTTGCATCAAAACGTGGTAATCATGGGATTTAAGCCTATGACTTTGCACTCATCTACTGACACACAACTAGCAATGTTAGAGCAGTAACCGTCCGGGTCTTTGAAGCCAAATAACTGCTTACAGAAACTTTTCTTCTCTGAATTTGACAATGACCGCTGCGGGAAGTAATATCCGTATACCGTGAGGTTTCGGATGCAAGTCCTTCCGGATGCCAAGAGCTTCAAGATCCTTTCTAACTTTTATACCATCAATGGAATTTCCACAATGCAATAACGTTGCAATTAAACTCGCAACCACGTTTTTCTCAACGTGCATGACGTCCAAATTATGTCTGACTGGTAACTCCTTGTGAATCAGGAAAAAAATGTTAGTAAGAGAACATAAATATTATGCCATTTACTGATATTAATATGAAATTGTAGCTATACCTGCCAGTATGGTAAGGTGAAGAATATTGATATTTTCTTCCATCTGGATAACTCTTCTTCATCTTTTTCTGCTAAGTCTTCTTCCTCGTTGTGGGACACAATACCCACATCCAAATATTTAGAGTGAATGAAGAGATGAGAAAGAAGTAGCTAGAAATCTCACAATGAACCAAAAGGATTTAGAACACTCAAATGGATTTGTATTAAATGGAGACGTATTTACAAAAGGTATTCGAAATGTGATTGCTCGATCGATGAGAGCATACAAGAGAATAGTTAAACGAGTAAAAGATGAGCTAAACATGGGTCTTCTGTCTGGTTCATGCCTACTTTATATAAGATGCTCGACATCTAACTGTTGCGCGGATATTGGGAGCGCGTAATCCGGATTTGATGGGATCTCCTCGAACAAATTTGAGCAAGTCTTGCGTAACGAGCTCCCACAGACAGCAGCCCGTCGTCTTGTTCCGAACTATGGCTGGACCTCAAGATAATCGAGCGAGCTGGTGGGTCTGACCGCCAGGTCGTGTTTGAATTGTGATGTGAACCACAGCCCATTCTACAGGGCGTCAATGGCTACACCATCATTGAGTTTTGCGATTTTTGCTTTCACTTCCCTGAAGCGAGCTACGAAGTGGCGAAGTGGTTCATCATGACCTTGGCGTAATTTCCAAAGATTAGCTTCTGTAGCTCGTGTTTCGATAAATATCGAGTACTGTTTAAGGAAAACTGATACGAGCTGATCGAAACTATCTATAGAGCCGCCTTCTAGGCTTGCGAACCAGTCGAGAGCTGGACCTGTCAGTTTTCCGCAAAGAATCTACAGTAGCCCGGTTCTTTTTCGTAGTCACTTAGGTGAGCTTTAGTTACAGCTAATCTGAAATCTCTGACGTGAGCTCTCGGATCGGTAGTTCCTGCATACTCAGGGCATTTGATTTTTCCGATGTCGCTGATTATAGCGCTGTCTATTTTATCAGAGAACGGAGTATTGCGAGTTTCTTCTATAACGCGATCGATGTCTGGTGCGGCGCTCAAAGCTGAGTGCATGAGAGATTTTATGCGCCGGGTCGTTACCAAAGTAAGTTTGATTTGTGTGAGCTCGTTGCTCGAAAGCATGTTCGTCACGAGTTTGCCTCAGTGGACTTCCGTTTTCCACTACAAGAAAAATGTCATATTGCAACATAATTTTTGCAACGTTAAGTTTCGTCAAAATTTTGCCACATATTTTGCAATTTTTTTGTGATGATATAGAAACGTCGTAATTTTATAACAAATCCGTTGCAAATCTACAACAAAACTTTTTGTTGCAGATTTTCATTACAATTTTGCGACTTTTTTACGACTTATTAATTTGTCATGCAAAATTGGCAAGAAAAATCGAATAAAAATACGTGATAAATTATGTGGCACATTTGCCACAATACTTGCTATATTTTAATAACTCTGTTGTACCAAATGTTCTACCTAAAATTACATATCTTAAAAAAAAACAAAAACAAAACAAAAGGATTGAAATTTGTATATATATTGATGGTTCTTTAAATATTATTTAAAATAAAACATAGTATAAGATAAATATGTAAGGTTCTCTTATCTAAACAATATATTAATTTAATAATTAACGGAAAAACAAAAGATTAACAGAAAAAAGGAAAAGTAGATATCTTCGACTTCTTATTTCCAGTTGAGTTAATTTGTTGCTGCATTCTTCTTCACCAGTTTGTTTTTTTTTTTTGTCTCCAAACAACGATCTAAAGAACTCAGGTGAATTTGTTTCTCCCTCTCTATTTGATTTACGATTTTCGTTTGTTTCCTATTATCTGAAATTTAGATTATACTCTGTTCTGAGTTTCCTACTTTTACAAGGATTTGAGTTTTCCTTAGTTTTCTCGTTATAGTTTAATAAACAGCTTCATCAGCTTTCTTAACGCCAAAGTAGACTATCTCAAACTCATGTGTGTTTCCCTCTAATCTCGATGTCTTTGTTAATAAAGCAAATTATTTACGTTACGGCTGATGCTTTATATATACATATATTTCAGGAACGCTTACGCTGAAACCTTGTCAACTACTTCATGGTTTTTATATTGACTTTGTGGTGCAGGTGTCAAGTGGGAGGCTGCTAATATCAAATAAGCGATTAAATTGCTCAATTGAGGTTAGTATTTGTTATTTAGCCAAAATCTATAGTATATATAGTTCTTAGGTTGGATGAAAGAATTGCCTAGTTCTATGAATTATTATATTCTCCGAATATGAAACGTAAAGAGAATATGTTCCTTTAGCTTTCTAGTCTTATGCTAGGTTGCTTGTTTTCTAAATATTTCTAGTCGTATAATTGAAATTATAGCCAGTTTTTAAATATTAAAGAATCAAAATTTGGTGATTGCAGAATTTGTCAATGTCTTCGGGTAATGGTGATTATGCTTCGAGGCAATGGATGTATGCAAGAATTGATTCAACAAGCAATCAACTATCAGATGCTTTCATTGAAGGATTGAAAGAGTTTATAGATTTTGCTAAAAACCATGTGATGTTTGTTCAGAAGAAGAAAATGTTTTGCCCATGCACGAAGTGTGAGAACAGAAAGTTTCTCTCTGACGATACTGTTGCTGGTCATTTATATAATAGAGGGTTTATGCCAAGCTATTTTGTTTGGGTTGCGCATGGAGAACACTATAATATTGACAATCAACCACGTCAAACTCAGGAAAATACAAGCATGCCAAATGATGTTCCCATGCCTGTTCCAAACCCTTATACAGAGATGGTAACTGATGCTTTTGGTGAGGGTATGTCGTCCAACCCAAACATGGAAGAAGAACCCAATGAAGAGGCAAAAAGATTTTTCAATCTACTAAGAGCAAGTCAGAATGCATTATATGATGGATGTCGAGAAGAGCTTTCACAGTTGTCATTAGCGTCTCGATGTATGGCTCTAAAGACAGATTATAATTTATCAGAGAAATGCATGGATTCTATTTCTAAAATGATGAGGGACTACATGCCTGAAAATAGCAATGCCACCGCTTCATACTATGAGACCAAAAAATTGATGAGATCTTTGGGTTTGCCTTACATGAAGATTGATGTGTGTCAGAATAATTGTATGCTTTTCTGGAAAAGCGATGAAGCACTAGAAAGTTGTAAGTTTTGTGGAGCTCAAAGATTTAAAGGTACGAAAAAGCCAGGAAGAAAGCAAGTTCCATTTAGAAGAATGTTCTACTTGCCAATAGCTGATAGGCTAAGAAGATTATACCAGTCAAAGAAAACAGCTTCAGTGATGAGATGGCACAAAGAGCATTATTCAACACATGGAGTCAATAAAATGTGCCATCATCTGACGGTGAAGCATGGAAACACTTCAACCAGGTATATCCTGATTTTGCTAATGAACCTAGAAATGTTTATCTTGGTTTAAGCACAGATGGCTTTAATCCGTTTGGCATGTCTGGTCATAACTATTCCTTATGGCCAGTTATTTTGACTCCATACAATTTACCTCCTGATATGTGCATGAAGCGAGAGTTCTTGTTTCTCACGGTTTTAGTTCCTGGTCCAAACCATCCGAAAAAGAGCTTAGATGTATTTTTACAGCCTCTTATAGATGAGTTGAATGATTTGTGGAATAATGGAGTTCAGTCGTTTGATGTATCGACAAAGACAAACTTTACACTACGAGCTGTGCTTTTGTGGAAAATCAGTGATTTTCCTGCCTATGCCATGTTATCTGGCTGGACAACTCATGGTTGTTTAGCCTGTCCTTATTGTATGGGTGATACTGAAGCTTTTTGGTTGAAACATGGGAGAAAAATATGCTGGTTTGATTGTCACCGTCGTTTTCTTCCAGATGATCATAGTTTACGGCGAAACAAAAAGAACTTCAGCAGAAACAAAGTGGTAGATTCAGATCCACCAACACTATACTCGGGAGAATATTTATCAAGAAGGTTGTCCGCTTTACCAAAAACAGTTAGTTGTGGGGGAGAACATCCAAAGATACCTGGATATGGTGAAAACCATAATTGGCACAAGCAAAGTATATTCTGGGAGTTGCCTTACTGGAAAACTCATCTGCTTCGCCATAATCTAGATGTGATGCATATCGAAAAGAATTTTTTTGATAATATCATCAATAATGTGTTAAATGTGACAGGAAAAACAAAGGACAATGTCAAATCTCATCTTGACTTGGCAGAGCTCTGCAATCGGAAAGATTTGCATATGACTGATGGTGGAAAAGCTCCAGCACCATTATTTAGATTATCTCCAGAAGCTAAGATATGTCTTTTTAATTGGTTGAAAGACGAAGTTCAGTTTTCTGATGGTTATGCATCAAATATATCTTCTTCTGTTGATTTTAATAATGGTAAACTTTCTGGAATGAAAAGCCATGATTGTCATGTTTTTATGCAAAGGTTACTTCCCATTGCTTTTGCTGAGTTGTTACCGAAAAATATCCATCAAGCATTATCGGGTACGTATTTTGTTTTTTTAAAACAGTTTGTGTTTTGTTAACTACGTTAACTGAAAACGTATTTAATATTTTTTATTTTCTATTGTTTCAGGTATAAGTTTGTTCTTTCGTGATCTATGTTCACGAACCTTGGAAAAAGATTCGGTGGAAATTATGCAAAATAACATTGTTGTTGTTTTGTGTACTTTGGAAAAAATATTTCCTACGTCTTTTTTTGATGTGATGGAGCATTTGGCGATTCATCTTCCTCACGAGGCTAAACTTGGTGGTCCTGTTCAGTATCGATGGATGTATCCGTTTGAACGCTTTATGTATCACTTGAAGAAAAAGGCAAAAAATAAAGCTAAAGTCGAAGGATCGATAGTGGAACAATATGTTAATGAGGAAATTTCAGATTTTAGCTCTTATTATTTCGAATCTCATATTGAGACCAAGAGTCGAAATACTTCTCGCTCCGATGATGGAGGTTTGACATACAACTATTCGTTTCCAGATATCCCTGAAATATTTGTACAAGGTGGACGAGGTAGTGGTAAATCTGTAGATGTTTGGTTAGATTCTCAAGACTACAAGCGAGCACATTCATACGTACTTTTGAATTGTGGTTATCTACAACGTTTTGAAAGGTACGTAATTTGTCTAAATTCAGCGCATGAATTCGTGCTTTCTAATGCTTGTTAATTATTATATATTTGAGAATTGATATTGGTTTTTATTGTCTTAACATTTTTGTTCTTTCTGAAATATTATTCATGGCCCATGGCCTTGTTATTCTATTTAGGTATTGGATTAGAGTTGAGTTGTATATTGTTTATATTAATAATGTTATTTTCTATCTTTTTTATTTTTTGCATCTTGTTTGATGAGAACATGAAAATCACTTATTCTACTACAGATGAGGCTAAGTTATTTGAGTTAAAAGAGATGCATTTCGCAACATGGCTATGTGAACATGTAAGCGTTGATTTAATATTTTTTTAATCAAAAAACTAAAGTATATTGTGTCTAATTAACTTTTTTTCTTTTCAGATTCAGCTCGATACAAATCGTAGTGTTTATCCAATATGGTTGCATGATTTGGTACATGGTCCTGCAACTAAAGTAACAACTTGGCCGATGTTTTTTTCCCGAGGGTATAACTTTCACACGTTAGATCACGGAAAAGATCGTAAAACTTCCAACTATGGTATTTGTGTGAAAGGGGCCTCATGCGGTGATTCTAGTGAACCTGATTTTTACGGAATCTTAACACAAATATTTGAGCTTTACTATCCTGGAATTGTTGGTCTTAGAGTTGTTCTTTTCAGATGCAATTGGTATGACTCAACAAGGGATAAAGGTTTCCGTATAAACAAATCAGGGGTCATCGATGTTAATCGGGTTAGACGGTATGGAAAGTATGATCCTTTTATTCTTGCTAGCCAAGCCGACCAAGTATGTTTTGTATCATATCCTCGTCTAACCAAAAAGAAAAGTGATTGGTATGCTGCAATGAAGATACAACCAAGAGGAAAATAATATCTAGTGATGAAGTGGATCCTAGTCCGTTGCAGTATGAGAATGATAATACGATAGTCGAGGCTGATCCATTTATAATGGTTGATAGTTTAGCTGATCCGCAAGAACAGTTTGTGATCCTCGATGACGCTCTTGATGAAGATCTAGGTTCAGATACTGATAATGTTTCCCAAGAAGAGTATGATTCAACCGAAGATGAAGAAGATGATACCCAAGAAGAGTATGATTCAACCGAGGATGAAGAAGATGATACATCTTGATATACTCTATTCTTTTTTTATTATATCGGTTATGTTGGTACACTTTTTATATTTTGTTTTGGTCGACATATTGGATTGTTTAGATTTGGGATTTTCTACATTTTTTGGTGGACATGATTTTTTACTTTGTTTTACGATTATTATATCCTACAGACATGTGTGCATTTATACTTATATACAAATTTAAAACAGGAGTCTGCGTGAATGATAACGTGTTTATACTTGAAAATTGGTGATAACGTGTTTCAATTATATTATGGGTATCGTGTTATATTCTTCTTCATATGAATGTCATATATTTTGTATTAAATGATATTTGTAATTGTGACTTTGATTATGATTTATATGAAGCGGTGATTTGGTGGATATAAAATTTATGTTCTCCAACTTATCTAGTTCCCGCTTATCTATTTCCCGCCGCTTGTTTTTTGCCTCCCTATTTGAAGAGAATATCCTACTAAATATTTGGCTATTTCTGTTATTGAAGATACGCTTAGATTTTACGCTTCTTCTATATATACTGCTCATATTTACTTTTAATAAACACATCTGACTTCATTTCTGCAAACAGTTTTGAAAGTAAGGTCTTCATAGATAATAAATTTAGTTTTTCGTATGCTTTACTTTTATCTATGTTGATTAGCTTTGTCAAGTAATAAATTTATGTTTTTGTTTAAATCTCACAGATGGATCAGAATCTAAATGACGATCAAAATCAAGGTGAAGCTCAACCAGTGGGTGTTTTGGGTGTTCTCAATCCATCCAAACCAAATGGAACACTATGGTAAGCAAAGAATACAAATATTTTTAATTTTTACTTAGCATAACAATAATTAGTATTTTGACTTTTTTTATAGGTTTAAACGTGATTCCATAATCACTAGTGAGATCAGAACAATAATTCGATCTGATTTTCCTGGACCGTATCGTAATTGGTCTACCACACCAGTACATGTGAGGGAACGATGGTGGTACACTTTTAAGGTATATTTAAAATATATGTACAGTTACACATTTGCATGTGAGATTAATAATGTTTTAGTACTCTTGTACCTTAGTCTAATTAGATCTGACCTCAATTGCCTAATTGTATTTCTCACGTTTACATGTATTCATTGTTTTAATATACATATATATATATATATATCTAACTATGATGCTATGTCTCTAATTATAATTATATGTTTCTAGTAAGCCGTCAAATATTCTTTTCCTTTTTTAGGCGTTTTATGAAGAACTGTACGTTGATTATATTCTTACTTTTCTGTACATGAATCCTAATGTTTACTTCTGTTTTTCTTGAATAAAAAACCAGAGTAAATTTCACTGGAATCCTTTATTTGAGGTGGAAGTGAGAAAAATGTTTCACAAGTGTGCTGCAACCAAGTTGATCGACATGATCAGCCGAGTTAAGGAAAGAGGTCAGCAACCATATTGGATCCTTGATGATTACTACAAAGATCTGGTCGAATGTAAAGCTAAAGCTAAAGAGAGGAGCAAAAAAGCTTCCAAAAGTCGAATGTCAGATCGAAATGGGTTAGGACCTCATAAACATCGAGCTGGCTCACGTTCATATGCTAAAGTTGCAGATTTGTTGGTAAGAAATATTTTTTTCTTTGTACTGTTTCTGTGATTAACCATTTTAATATAATGTTTTCATGATCATATTTTATAGAAAAAAAAGACAGGAGATGCATCTTACATTGAAGTTCTCCGAGAGACTCACAAAAAGCGTGATGGATCATTTGTGGATGAAAGGGCCAGGCTGATCAGTGAGGGATTTGACAAGGATCTAGCTGATCATATTGTTGATGATGAATTTCCAACAGGAGAAGAGCCAACTCCCCAGAAAAAAAATGAAATGTATTTGAAGGTAATGTTTTGTTTTGAAGTTAATTTTTTAATTTTACATAAAGAATTAGATTCTGATATAAATTACTACTATGTTCTACAGTTAGTTGATGCAACGAATCGTGGTGTATTCGGTTTAGGATCTCTGCTAAGTGAACTTTCAATCAATTGTGAACTGCCTCCCACCACAATAAGCCAACTGGAAAATGATGAGACTTTCAAACAGACATTGCTCAAGTGAATGAAGCTATCCAAGAAAGGCTCAACAAACTTGAAGGTTTGGAGAAAATGATGGCGCTTCTCTGTCCGGCTTTATTATTAAGGGATGGCGTAAACAATTAATTGTTTACTTTTGTGTTTTAGTTTTATTTTAAGTTTTTTATTAGCTTGTTTGGTTTTTATTTTCATTTTTTTGGGTGTTTTTTTGCATTATTAGATTTTTTAATCTTTGATTATCAAATAAAATGAGTTTTTTTTATTCTAGTATTATCTTTTATTCAAGAAATAATATACAAAATATCAAATCAATCCATTACGATTTTGCAACATGTCTTTGATCATTGTCACAAAAATCTATTACGATGTTGCAAAATATATGCAACAATATTAACTTTTACGTAGCAAAGTTAACGAAATCATTTATTAATGAAATCATTTATTATAATTCTACCACATAGTTGCAAGTTTTTTTTGTTGCAATAATACTACAAATTTACCAAGAGATAATTTATTGCAAATTTGCTACAATATTTACTATATGTTTTACGTTGCAATGTTTGCAACTATTTATTGTTGCAATCATATGTCGCAATTTCACAACAAGTTTACTAGAAAATAAGCATTGCATTAATGCGACAAACATAACAAGAAATCAATTCATTGCAATTTTGGCAACGTATATGCAACAAACACGACTTTGCAACATTCAAACAGCAACATTACCAAATTTGTCGCAAATTTATTGCAAAGATTAGGTTTGCAACAATATATTGCCATATTGCAACAATTTTTCTCAGTTGCAATATGACATTTTTCTTGTAGTGTTCGTATGTATCATTTGGGAGCGGTTGCTCAAATGATAACACAAATGGAGGTGTTTCAGTGTATACAGTATAGTGTTCGGTCTGTGGCGGTGCTTGCGGCCTAGTTCCAGACGGTTCTGGAGGGGGTGGTGGAAGTTGTTCCCCATTACAAGCTGATGCTCGCGGGGTGGAAGCTCTTACTTCGGGGTGTTCGGATCTGAGGCTGAAGACCGTTGGCCAGAAGTGTTATGAGCTCCGGTACTATGAGATGTTCTCTGTGTACCAGGGGTTCCTGAGACCGGAGAGAATTGGAGTCGAGTTTCGTGTATTGTAGTTCTCTCGGTTCCAGTTCTTTGTTCGAAGTTCGTACTACGGTGCATTGGTGGCAGTGTAGTTCGTTCGACAGTAGCTCGAATGTTTGCAAGCTGGGTTACCCCCGACTTGTTTCATTCGGATCAGTTCGCGTTTGTCCGAACGAATTCGATTTAGGGCGGCGCGGCCAGTTGAATTGCATGTGATCGTTTGATCGGCCTTCTGGTCGCACCCATGTGTATGGGTTACCCCCGACGGAGCTGTCGACATTCTGGTTTAAGTTACCGGATCTAGTTCGAGCTGGTGATGCGTTCGCACCGGGAGCTCGTCCGGTTGGCGCAGCTGCGCCGGTGGCTGGATCTGTTGATGCATCGGGGTTGAGATGAACGTGATCTGGTTCAATCCGTTTCGTGGTGCTCTCTAGGAACTTCTCCAGTCGGAGCGGAATCGTTTGCTCCCGTAGGAGCATTGATGATAGGATTTTGGTGTGGATGTGAATGATATGAATGAAGGATGATAAGATATGAGGTGGAATGCAAACAGGGGTGAATAAAGATGAAATGGTGCAATCACAATCAATCAATTCCTCTTAACCATCATAGTCATGTAGTACAAGAGGTTATCAATCCAAAATGGGAAACTTGTCACTCTATGAGAATATGAAACAACCAGAAAGTCAAGCAAGCAGTAAAGATTTGAAGTAACACTAACAACCTAAATGAAAATGAATGAAATGCAATAAAAGTAAAAAAGCAGTAAGCAGCTCGACCAAGACTCGAGTCGAGTAGGAACAGAGTACCAGCTCGATCGAGTTTAGGGTCGAGTTGAGACAAACAAAGCTAAAGGTGACGACTTTAACAAGATAAGAGAGAATTAGGGTTCAAGACAGGGTTTTGCAATCAAAGGAATCTACACTTAATCATCTAGCTCTTAAAACTCCTTGTATCAAGGCTTCTCTTGATATTGGGCTTCTCAATGCCTAGCCAACCCTTTCCCAAGGTGGAGGCTATCAACCAAGGAATGATCTCAGAAACAGGGGGTTAGCCAGTGAGAATCAAACCTTGGAGGCTATAGGATCATTGCCCAAACTAATCCATCCAACCCCTTAGACCTCTATTGTCTAGAGCAAGAGATATTGGAGCTCTTAGTGGATCTTTTCCAGCGAATGCCATCACTTTCGTGTGGGGAGTCGCCTAAGGACTTACAAGCCAGGGGTAGTGGTCATGTAGCCTTAAGATCTATCCAAAAGAGAGAGAATCTAGATTAAGACCATAAGCTAGAAGGATTAAGCATATGAAACCTCTAATCTATCCCATCTCAAACCCCAATGGGTAACTACTCACTACACATGAATGTAAACACAAGCAAATGCAATAAAAGAGACATCATAAGAAAGAGGAGATGAAATTAAACAACTTTTATTGAAATAAGCAAGTGCAAATACAAAGAAGATTAATCCAGGATCTAAGATTCAAGAAGCAAGAGCTTCAAGAACACAAAGATGGGATTAGTTCTAAAAAGTAAAAGACAATAAATTAAAAGAAACTAAAACAAAATAATCTAAAGCTTGGTGGTTTTTTCGTGGCTTAGAGCCTTTAAATACAAGAGGATTAGGTTTAGGGTCAAAGGAAAGTCAAGGGGGAAGCAACATTTTTCGGGTTTGACTGTTGACTTCTCAGCTCGATCGAGTTGAAGCTTGGCCGGTCGAGTTGAGGAACTCGACCGGTTGGTCGAGTAGACGGTCGAGCTGGTCTTCAAGATGGCTTCTCCCTTCTTCCTTTGCGTATCCAGTTGAGCTGCTTCCATGTGCCAAGTCCCTCCATGCTCCTCATGTCCCATATGCTCCAGAATGCTCCAAAAGACCTATTTCAAAGGACCAAACATGCATATGTATGCAAATGCAACCTAAAACTAACATGAATGCATAAGAAGAGAAAAGGAACAAGATATGATGCAAATGGAAGCTAAAACTATGCAAAAGATGCATAAAAGATGTGCTAAAACTATGTAAAATGCAAGTACATCAAGCTGCTCTGGTAGGAGTGGACTTGTTTGCTCCTGTAGGAGCGGAATTGTTTGCTCCCGTAATGTTTGAAGGATTTGATCCTCCGGAGTTGACAGAAGCATGGATTTGTGCTATCGCGAGTGGATCCATTGGCATTCTAACTGGCCTTACTCCGGGCTACTGAGTTTGAGATATCTTTTATCTTCCCCACAGTCGGCGCCAAAATGTGGGACACAATACCCACACCCAAATATTTAGAGTGAATGAAGAGATGAGAAAGAAGTAGGTAGAAATCTCACAATGAACCAAATAAGAATAAGAACTTAGAACACTCAAATGGATTTGTATTGATTGGAGAAGTGTTAACAAAAGGTATTCGAAATGTGATAGCTCGATCGATGAGAGCATACAATAGAATAGTTAAACGAGTAAAAGATGAGCTAAACATGAGTCTTCTGCCTGGTTCCTGCCTCCTTTATATAAGCTGCTCGACTTCTAACTGTTGCGCGGATACCGGGAGCGCGTACTCCGGATTTGATGGGATTTCCTTGAACAAATTTGACCAAGTCTTGCGTAACGAGCTCCCGCAGACAACAGCTCGTCGTCTTGTTCCGAACTATGGCTGGACCTCAAGGTAAATGGGCTTTGACAAAAAGACTTCAAATGGACCTTTTTAGGGCTTAATATGAGCCAGATTTAGGTGCTAAATCTAGCTCCAACACTCGTCAGACGCACTATCTTCTGCTTCGTTATCAGAAGTTACTTCTACGCGGGTAGCTCTAGATCTCTTTTTTCCCGTCTCTTTTCTATTCCCAAAATCATTTCTGTAATTTTTCAGCATAATGGAAACATTCCTACCCGTTAGGATCCTACCCTTAATCCCATGCTCAGTTTTTCCATCAAACCATGTCTTCTTCCCTCTGAAACTATGACTTGGAGATAAACCTTTCCTATGCCACATGTAGACATGTTTCCTACTATTACTCAACCACAAACTATCCGTATGCTTCCCACATATAGGACAACCCATTTTTCCTTTCAATTTACACCCTGCAAGATTTCCATATTCTGGAAAATCACTAATAGCCCTCAGAAACATTGCCCTAAGCGTGAATGTTATTTTGCTAACAGCATCATAAGTTAACTCGCCTATAGACCACAACCTATTTAAATCTTCAACCAGAGGTTCCAAGTATACATCTATACTATTACCTGGTTGATGCGGTCCGGAAATTAAGAGAGTGAGCATGATCTCCTCTTTCATACACAATGCAGGAGCCATGTTGTAATTAACGAGCTAAACAGGCCAACAAGAGTATCTGCTGTTCTTCATGCTGTAGGGATTAAACCCATCAGTAGACAGTCCCAGACGCAAATTCCTCTGCTCGGCGGCGAAAGAAGGGAACTTGTCATTCATAGACATCCATGTGACAGAGTCTACTAGATGGCGCATTTTACCGTATGTGCTCTTGTTATTGAAATGTCATCTCAAATCCATGGCTATTTGCTCTACCTGAACATCCTCTTAAGGCGTGTAATGATTGTAAAATACCGTATAACTTTTTGTGGAACTCCCTTCTCTATCTCACCAGTGTGCATGTTTGTCTTCCATCTTGAAACCTTCCATTTTGGACAGACCTTGACCTTCTTCAGTTTTTTTCCTGAACAAGTAGCAGTCATTCACACAGGCATGGATCTTCTCATACCCCATATCAAAGGTTTATAGGAACTTCTTGATGTCATAAGTGGATGTGTGAAGGACGTTGTCTTCAGATAACATATTTGGCAAGGTTTCTAGTAGCTCACTGAAACTCTTGTCTGACCACCCATTATGTGTCTTGATCCTAAATAGAGAAACTATGGCCGAAAGCTTGCTGTGGTGAACACACACTGGATACAATGGTGTCTCACCTTCTGCAAGTTTTGCTAAAAACTCATCTTCTTTTTGGTCATTACTCTCAACAGCTTCTGAATCATCTAAGCCCTTCCTAACTAAATCCTCATTTGTGCATCTTGCAGCCTTGTACAAACCCAAAATCTCATCATTCCAACTATTATGTTGGCCTGGTTCTACAGCTACAGAGTTTCCATCTCCATGGGGAAACCAATCTGCCCGTATCTTGTAAGCAGCATCCATCCCATTTATAACTAAATGTGACAACGTTGCTATATGCAACTCGAACTAGGTTGCGACATAAACCACATAGACATATTATCTTCCCATTCACTCCTAATTTTTCACTAAGAGCATCAACAAAAGCACGAGCACCACTAATGTAAGCAGGATCTACCCTTGAGTTCATGTAAATCAAATAAAAAGACGAAAACAATTAAATAAATGTTGAATGTTCCTAAACCCAAAAGCATACAACTTAAAACAACTGTAAATACCTGCATAAGTAGACCCATGCCTTGTCTAACATTGTAGTTTTTGACAACCGTGCTCAGGTTCCTTGCAACAGGTGAAACAAAAAGCTATACATAGAAGCTCGCATGTGTAATTACAGATAACAATTGAGTCAAACGATGTGGTTAACCTTTTCTGTTAATGTGCTGCTTCTGACTCCACAGAACTCGCCTCCAAATTCACAAACACAGACCTGAAGCTGTAGTTCTCAATCGCTTCCTTAAATTGTTACAAAAGGAAAAATGAATTAGATTACAATTAGGTAGATTATTAAATATATGAACCCTAATAATGAACTCACTTTCAGTTACAGACGATGATAACTCGTAAATCTCGGATTGCAGACAAGAAGAACTCGCAAATTTCTGATTGAAATCAGACGTAACCGAAAATGGAGATTGCTTATTGAGAGATCAGGTATAGGACAAAGAAACGCACATAGTCGGAGTGAAGATCAAACTGTAACTGAGGAGAAATGGAATCGGCGGAGATGGCGAGGGAGAATCGCGATAGGGAGACGGAGAGAACGAGGTTTTTTTTTCTTTTAATTTCTCTCTTTTTTTAATACTATGAAAAATGTTTGTAATAGAAACTAATCGCGGAATCTCTTTTTTTTCTAAGTGTTGGCGCTTTGGTCAATAACTTGGCAGATTAGGGAGTCAATAAATCCCACTTCCTTTTTATTTGGGCATAGCATAAATGTAATGCTATGAGTTTGCTAATGACACTTCTAAAAACTTACAATAGCAGTTACGAAAAATGTGATATGGTCGTCTGCTATCAAAGGGGGTTTTGTTGTAGTGGTCTAAGCCTCCATCAAGAACACCAATAATTATCACTCTAACACTCTAAAACACTAAAAGATAATATAGAGAAGAAACAAGAATAGGCAAATGTGGTTTTTAGGTTATACCAAATAGCAAAGAAGCAAATCAGTATAATAGTGTAAACCAGACAACGAACATAGTATGTTTCTGAATTCTAACACGAACTAAGAATTCAAAGGATACACTGTGAGAGTCCTTGAAGGGATCAACTAGAGATTACAAATATTTGCAAGTTCTTGAAGACGTGGATATTAAAGCATCTAGCTCCTTTAACGGGAAGACCTAATGAGAAAATTACAGGTATTTTTTGTACTAAGAATGTATAATAATTTTTTTTTTTTACAGAGATCTTACTTCATTGACGATCCTAATGAGATTTGTCAAGGGATTAAATCTTATATATAATGAGAGGATATCACTCTCCAGTTGAGTGATACCTGTCAAATATCTTCTTTCACAAAAAAGACATATAGCTGCATCTTAAATAATTAAAAAAACAAAAAAAAATTGTTTCTCAGTCCTTATACAATTATGTTTTTTGCAAAATAAAACCCCACATTAACTTATCCTTCACGCCCACACGAAGACCTAACGCCGCCGTCGATGATGCCTCCTCCACTCACCACGACCGTTGTCGTCTCAGCCGTTCTGCACTTGCTCTCCGATCAATACGAAGCTGGATTCCGAAACCGCTCCCCGTCACCGCATTCTGACAGTAGATCTCATGAGAATTGAACCTCGCTGGTTTCGTAGAAATGGATGCTATTCAGAAGATTGACTGTGATGAGGTCTGAAATATCCACCATCCTCCACCGAGCTCTTCTTTCTGTGTTCTATCCACGCCGTCTCAGAGCCTCCCTCGGAAAAAAATTCGTGTAACCGGTCAACGCACATCAGCCATCTATCGCCTCCGGCCGACAATGCATCCCTTGGCTATTACTTCGATTCCCTCAACAAGCTGGATCACTGGTCTCCGGCTTCTTAAAAACTCCCTCCGATGAGAAACATGTATTAGCTCCAACACCTACTCAACAAGCGTCATCTCGTTCCAAAGATTCGACCTTCTCTGTCCCATTCGGGACATCGTTGTTTGCTACATCGGTATTAGGGCTCCTCTCTTCCCACCGGGCTCCCTCCGAATCAGGTTAATTCACTGTAAAGCCCAAAACATTTTAATTATTGTTCATGTTTGAGCCCATTTGTGATTTATGTTACGACGGTTACTGCTCTGTTTTATTCTAACGATCGAGGTTTTGTTTTATTCTCCCTTCTTCTTCGCAGGCGTTACCACTCTCCTCTGCAACGATCGAATTTCGATTTGCCCTGTAACGGCTTCGACTCGGAGAAACACAGGTCAAATTTCTTCATTTCATTCCTGTCAATGATCTTTCTTCTATAACACCCATGTCGTTTCGAATTTCTTTTCACCGGGTTTAATTACGCTATGTAATTAAATACTCACCCTCCCAGGCACACTCACAGGCCGAAGCATCATTATGTCTATAAATACTTTAACTTCCGAAGCTCCACCTAACCTAGAATCCTCCTACGCACACTACAAGAAATATGGCCATTGATAGCACATTAAGATAGCACGATTATTCAAACTGCTATGAAATGTATATTATGATTTTTTGACATCTTATGATAGCACTTACAAAATGCTATGCCTAAAATTGAACAAGCGGGAACAAAAATCACATATACCGCCTAATGAAAGAGACAAAACACACTATACCGCCAACACTTAGTGAAAAAACGAAAAATTTGTCCGCTCAATTTTCTTTTCACGACTTAAGAAAAAACAAAAGTACAATTTTGTAAAAAAAAAAAAAAAACTGAAAAACTCGAAACCTTTCTCCTCCCCCGACATCGACCTTCGTCGTCATCGAACTCGAAACCTTTCTCTTCCACTTCGTCTGAAATCTCTCTTCTGTTTCAAATCGACCTCTTCCATTCAGTCTCAAATCGACCTCGTCCCGTCCCTGGATCTGAAATCGGCATCTTTCACTCATCTCAACTCCATATAAAGGAAGACGAGGTACTGTTTCTCTAAACATTATCTGTCTCAATCTGCTTCGATTTCACTGTCATTCAAACACCAGTAGCCGTATTTTCTGTATGCATGTTACATTAGGGTTCTTATACTCTCGATTTGGGCGAATTGAAAATTCTGCATATTTTGACATTTGGGCAAATTTCGATTAGTTAATCGATTAGGTTTTGTGCTCTCAGGTCTTGCTGAGTTCTGTTTCGGTGAAGACACATCAACACCTCTGAATTTCGACAGGTTAGACACACCTTATTACAGACTTAGCTTGACACTTTCATTGTTGTAGTGTTTAATTTATTGATGAGTCTCAGAAGCTGCTTTGTGTGCTTTGTGTGTTCGAAATTTTGATGTGCTTTCTTGCTGTTTGAAACATGCATGGGTTTCGCTTTATGTGGCAAGGATAATCGTTTAGAGCTTATACATAATGCTTGACAAAGAATGGGTGCAGCTACGCAGGTATACATTTCCATCTAGCTACTTATTTTTTCACATATTACTTTCGCACTTTGCATTTACAGTTTGTTTATGTCTTCTTTCAATTGCCTGAACAAAAGAGCTGACCCTGCATACGAGTCTGGTGCTTGGAATTTTGTGCATTCTGTTAGAGCTGCTTTAGGGGAATCTGATATGGTTATATGCCCCTGCACAGACTGTCGGAATAATGTGGGTGACGAGGCTGAAATTGTGGGTGAAGTTGCGAACTAAGAAGGATGGGACAGCGGTCAATACTAATGCCGCAGAGAAAATTGTAAGTTGTGCGTTCATCAAGTGAAACTGTTTTTCTTGAGGACTATTGAGAAATGTTTTCCTCGTTTTGCCAGAAAAAGGCTGCTGATTTAGTCCAGTCTGAACCTAATTCATCTGCAAACCCAAAGGAGGATCATCTCGCTAAGGTCTTAGGACCTGAGAATCCGGGTCGGTTGAGGGCAATGGGCAGAGGGATGAGTATGAGCAAATACGCTTGTTTCCAAATGAAGAACAAACATATGACGGAAATGCAACAAATCCAAGTGCATTTACAGCAACAAGTCCTAGACTTGCAAGAGGCAATTTTGAAAATGAAAAATCAGGTTAGTAATCTAGTAGACAAATGTGGGTATCGGTTGTCAAAAACAACATATTAACGTTGGCTTCTCATTTGTATCTTGTACAGAGACCAGAGCCCGAAGTAGGTGAAAATTCTGCTCCACGAGTAAGTTTTGAATAGAAACTTTCGCTTCTTTATATGTTGAAATTTATGTTTCGAGAGTGAGTATTGAGAATAAACTTCTCCTTCTAATGTGGATTCATTAATTTTGGTAGATGATATCACCATATTTTACATGATTTTACTATATAATTACCTATGTTTTCAAACGGTTTTTGCAAGATTCTTTGCCTTTAGAGGTAGTTTTCTTGTATTTGTGGGATTTGAAGTCTTTGTAGGTGAAATAATCAAAAAGGATGCAAAAAGGAGTAAAAGAGCCCTAAATCAAGATCCATGCAAGTTTCCAAGTCAAGAAGATCATTTTATCTCCAAGTGTTAGTTCTCGCTAGCGCGCAGAACGAAGCTTCGGAAGTTTGGCCGCGCGCGGAGGAGTTCCCGACGTCCAAAAGTTACGATCTTGATATGGAAAGATAGATACTTGAGTCATGCATCACGTCGAAGTGGAATGAAGCCATTTGGATCAACTATGAGGCCTAGACTTATTTTCTACCGAGACATGTCCGGTAAGCGAGTAAACGAAGCCCATGGAGGATTTGGAGTGTCTAATGGCCCGAGCAGCAGCGCCAAAGGCCTTGATCGAATAGAGAAGAGGCCTGGCTAATGTTTGGAGCTTTCCTTGGTACAATGTCGGCCCATACACGACGTGGAGAAGAAGGCTCGGCGCATGAGAAACTTTCCTTTTTCAGCATGAAGAAAACCCTACTCGATTCGCCCATATATACATGTTTTTAGCCGCTGAGCGAAAAGAGTCTGGAGAGTGTCAAGGTGTGCGCCGTCAGAGAAGAAGAGGAATACCCCCAAGAAGGAAGAAGTGAAGCCTCCTCGGATCCAAGCCGCACGCACGACGCACAAAATCGTTACATCTTTGTTCTTGTTATTTCGTTTTCCGGATTTTGGAGTTAAAAGGAAGGATTCAATCTTTTCATCAATAGAGAAGCTTTCTCCATCCCTTTTTCTCTTTAATATTCGCATGATGCTTTCATTCAAATCTTGTTTGTTTGTTTGCACCATGGCCGAGTAAATCCCTTACTAGGCCGTGGTGGATCAATGAGTGCATAAACCTATAAATGAGAGTCTTGTGAATTGAGAATAACCTTTGAGTTCTTCACCTTTACTTGAGCATAATGCCGTTTGCTTTTCTGATCATCTAGCATCGGATCTTAGGGTTAATATACTCTCCAAAAGCTTGTTATATTGCCGGAACTAGTATTTGGTGAGCGATAGTTCACGGCCAACGAAAGTTGAGTTGTGGAGTATTGTGAACAATTAAATCTTGAACATCTTTAATGCATGTTTACAACTTTTAATAACCAACGAAAGCTGAGTCTATTAGGTTGTTTAAACATAGTAGTTGGAGCCACGAAAGTGGAAAAACTATATCTTAGTGATTTAAGTTCAAGAACGGTCTATAATGAATCTCTTTCACTTGATTTCTTTGTTTAAGTTTGTTGCATCTCGGCGATCCACCATTGTCTAGTGTTTCCCCTTATTGATCTCATCCATTTCCATCTATTCATTATTGCCAAAACATCTCAAACCATATTTTGCTTTAGCTTGCTTCAACTCTTACTCTTGTAGCACAATCGATAGGTCCTTGTGGATTCGATCCCATACTATACTTACCTCGTTGCTGTGCACTTGCAGGTACTTAAGTTGGGTAAAACTTGAAGACAAACCCAGCTTGCATCAAGTTTTTGGCGCCGTTGCCGGGGACCTTCTTGTCTACAAGATCGGACGAGAATCTAGACTAAAGCGCATTTTACTCTTTATATTTTGTTCTTTTTGTAGGCACAACTTGAGCGTGCCATGGCTGGAGAAATACGTGACCAGCAACCAAATCCTTGGAGGAACCATCTTGATGAGCCGCCTTTGGACGAGGTCCAAGACCGCATACCACGAGAAGGCCTTGGACCGGAGCTTAACCGAGCCGATAGGCTACACCGAGGAGACTTAGGCGATCACCAAGGAGGGGAGAACCAAGAGACCGTTGGAGACAGTGACTCTAGACCAGAGCTTCTCCAAAGCCGTAGCCCTATCCGGACTTACGAGGGCCACCAGTTTGAGATCAAGCCGCGAGTCATTGCTTTGGTAAAACAAAGTCAATACCACGGGCTTATCGAAGAAGATCCGTTGGATCATGTCGATTCTTTTGAAGAATTGTGCAGCACAACTAGTGCAAATGGAGTTCCGGGCGACTACTTGAGATGCCGGCTCTTTACTTTTACCTTGGCGGGAAAAGCACTCAAGTGGCTCAAGTCTCTCCCGTCTCGCTCAATCACTACATGGATGGAGTTCAAGAAAGCTTTTCTTGGTCAGTTTTATACAAAGCAGCGGACTAGCTTGATGAGGAGCAAGATCGTTGGCTTTCAGCAAGGGCCAATAGAGCCGTATCATGAGGGATTGGAGCGCTTCAAGGAATACATAAGAGATTGCCCACAACATGGCTTCTCGGAAGTAAACTTGTGGAACACGTTTTATGAGGGAATAAGGCGCGAGCACAAGCTGTATCTTGATATAGCTAGCAACGGGAACTTCATGAGTAAGTCCATAGAGGAAGCCAAAACATTGATTGATAACCTAGCGGTCAGTGACAGCAAGAATCAACCGAGCTATGAAGAAACGATCAAGGCAATCAATGCGAGACCGGGACTAGTTGAGTTTGAGGAGCTGAAGTCCATGATCGCTAAGCTTTTGGAGAGAGAACCGGAGCATCGCTTGAGCCCCCGTGAGAGCAAGATACAACGGACCAACATCGATGAGAGGGAGGTGCTTTACATAAGCAAGCAAGAGATACAACATCCGGCTGAAACCCGACTTGGCGCTAAGGACCATGGAGGAGAGCTTAAGGCTTTGATCTATGAGTTCATTGGTGAACAGAGAAAGGCGAACAAGGAGATCAATGAGAAGATACACTATGTGTATCACGACTTGAACAATAAATTTGGGTCGCTAGAGTCGCACATCAAGGAGCTTGATCTTCAAATAGCAAACATAGCCGGTACAATCAAGAAACCGCTTGGAGTCCTCCCTGGTCGAACTGAGGCTAACCCCAAGAAGGAACATATAGCGGCCATCACTCTTAGGAGCGGTACGCAGTTAGACGAAGTGGAGATGCCACCGGAGCTCATAAGGAAAGAACCTCAACCGGAGGTAATACTGGAAAGCGTGGAAGAAGCGGTGGCGAGCAAACAAAGACAAATCTTGAGGAGAGCGCCGCGCCAACAACACCTACTCTGCGCGTATATAAGCCAAAAGTGCCCTACCCCGGATCAGTGAAGAAGCCCAAGAAAGAGAAAGAGCAAGCAAAGTTGAAGGACCTTGTGAGCCAACTAAGCGTAAGGCTCCCTTTTGTCGATGCTTGCATGATTATTCCATCATTGAGGAAGTATATGAAGAGCATACTCACTAGCAACTTGAGTCTAGAAGAGGGAGTGATGTTGATAACAGAAGATTGTAGCCTAGCCCTCCAAAACAAAACCCCGGAGAAGCTTGACGACCCGGGGAGCTTTGTTCTCTCATGCCAAATCGGAGGTACGATCTTTAAACGCTGCCTTTGTGACTTAGGGTCTAGCGTGAATCTTATGCCCTATACAGTGGCCAAGCGCCTTGGCATAACAAGCTTTAGACCCACAAAGATTCAGTTGGTCTTTGCTGATCGATCGGTGAGGCGGCCCATTGGCATCGTGAGTGATGTACAAGTCATGATTGGTAAATGTTTCATACCGGCTGACTTTGTGGTGCTGGAACTAGACCAAGAACCAAGAGATCCCCTGATCTTAGGGCGACCTTTCTTAGCCACAGCCGGCGCCATTATTGATGTCAAGGGAGGAAAGATAGACTTACACTTGGGAGACTTGGTAATGAAGTTTCAAATTGACAAAACTTTGGAAAAGCCAACTATCGACGGGTTCTCTTTCTTGGTGGACAATTTAAGTGAGGTGTCTGAAGGAGTGTATGAGGAGCTGATAATGGACGACCCCTTAGAAGTGGCACTAACCCGTGTGGAGAAAGAAGGAGGCTATTTTAGTAGAGAAGCGCGAGACATAGCCAAATCACTCGATAACGCGGAGACGTACAAGAACTTGGTAGCTTATGTTGGCTTGGAGGAAGAAGTAATGGGCACAAACGCCTCAAGGGATGCATCCAAGCCGTCAAAGGAGCCATGGAGTGAGTTGAGCGCTCCAAAAGTCGAGCTCAAGGAGCTCCCCGTAGGGCTAAGGTACGCATTTCTCGGTCCCAACAATACATACCCGGTGATAATCAATTCAAATCTATCAAATGTAGAGACCGCGCTATTACTTTGTGAACTAAGAAAACACCGCAAAGCCCTTGGGTACACCCTTGAGGATATAACCGGTATTTCCCCAGAACTTTGTATGCACAGGATACATCTCGAGGATGAGTCTAAGTCCTCCATAGAGCATCAAAGGAGACTAAATCCAAACCTGAAAGATGTGGTGAAGAAGGAGATAATGAAACTCTTGGAAGCTGGAGTGATATACCCTATCTCGGACAGTACATGGGTGAGCCCGTCCACGTAGTTCCAAAGAAAGGAGGAGTGACGGTCATAAGGAACGAGAATGAAGAGCTCATACCCACCAGAACGATCACTGGCCACCGGATGTGTATCGACTATCGTAAACTCAATGCCGCGACCAGAAAAGACCATTTTCCCTTACCTTTTATAGATCAAATGCTTGAAAGGCTTGCTAACCATCCTTACTATTGTTTCTTAGATGGTTACTCAGGTTTTTTCCAAATCCCAATCCATCCCGACGACCAAGAGAAGACAACATTCACATGTCCATATGGAACGTTCGCGTATAGGCGAATGCCTTTTGGCTTGTGTAATGCACCGGCTACGTTTCAAAGATGCATGATGTCAATCTTCACAGACTACATAGAAGACATAATGGAGGTATTCATGGATGATTTCTCAGTTTATGGCACATCCTTTGATGTTTGTTTGTCAAATCTTAGCAAGGTCCTCAAGAGATGTGAAGAGAAGCATCTAGTGCTAAATTGGGAGAAGTGCCATTTCATGGTGAGAGATGGGATCGTGCTCGGTCATAGAATCTCGGAGAGAGGCATTGAGGTTGACAAAGCCAAGATCGAGGTAATGGTGAACTTGGAACCGCCCAAGAACGTCAAAGGAGTAAGAAGCTTCCTAGGGCACGCGGGATTTTATAGGAGGTTCATAAAAGATTTCTCCAAGATAGCGCGCCCTCTCACTCAGTTACTTTGCAAAGAAGTGGCGTTTGAATTCAGTGGAGAATGCCTCGCGGCGTTCAAGAAAATCAAAGAAGCTCTCATTAGCGCGCCGATTGTACAATCACCGGATTGGGAGCTTCCTTTTGAGATTATGTGCGACGCAAGCGACTACGCCGTTGGAGCTGTGTTAGGCCAAAGGAAAGAGAAGAAACTCCACGTCATATACTATGCAAGCCGGACCCTCGACGAGGCACAATGCAACTATGCCACCACGGAGAAGGAGTTATTGGCGATTGTCTTTGCATTCGAGAAGTTTCGCTCATATCTCGTTGGCTCCAAGGTTATAGTGCATACCGATCACGCGGCTCTCAAGTATCTGCTGTCAAAGAAAGATGCAAAGCCAAGACTTATACGCTGGATACTTCTTTTGCAAGAATTTGACCTAAAGATCATCGATAGGAAAGGCGCGGAGAATGGCGTGGCCGACCATCTTTCAAGAATGAGAATCGAAGAGAGCATACCTATAGATGACTCATTACCAGAGGAAACGGTCTATGCGGTAAGCGCAGTACCTATGTCGAGGAAAGAGACCCCACCAAAAGCGACCACGGAGAGGAGAAATGCCTTTGGCGCGCCTTGGTATCGTCATATAGCCAACTATCTCGCGGCCGACATAGAGCCTCCAAACTTCTATGGATACAAGAAGAAGAAATTCTTGAAAGACATCAGATTTTACTTCTGGGACGAGCCATACCTCTACAAGAAGTGCCAAGACGGATTGTTTAGAAAATGCGTGCCGGAGGAAGAGATAGCCGGGATTCTCCATGGATGTCACGGATCAGCTTACGCAGGTCATTTTGCTACGTTCAAGACAGTCTCTAAGGTCTTGCAAGCGGGTTTTTGGTGGCCTACAATGTTTAAAGACGCTCAAGCATTCATCTCACGTTGTGATGCTTGCCAAAGAATGGGGAACATAAGCAAAAGGAATGAAATGCCGCAAAACTTTATCTTGGAAGTTGAGGTGTTCGATGTTTGGGGAATTGATTTCATGGGACCCTTCCCCACATCCTTTGGAGATCAATACATCCTAGTAGCAGTGGACTATGTCTCCAAGTGGGTTGAGGCAATAGCAGCTCCAACAAATGACTCGAGCGTGGTGATAAAAATGTTCAAATCTATCATATTCCCAAGATTTGGAGTTCCAAGAGTTGTGATAAGTGATGGAGGCTCACACTTCATCAATCGGATCTTTGCAAACCTTCTAAAGAAATATGGAGTGCGGCACAAGGTAGCAAGCCCTTATCATCCACAAACAAGCGGCCAAGTGGAGATTTCAAACAGGGAATTGAAGAGCATCCTACAAAAGACGACCGGGAAGAATAGAAAGGATTGGTCAGCCAAGCTAGATGACGCTCTTTGGGCGTATAGAACGCTTTCAAAACACCTCTCGGGACAACTCCATTTCATCTTGTCTATGGCAAAGCGTGCCATCTACCGGTGGAACTAGAGTACAAGGCAGCTTGGGCGGTCAAGGAGCTAAACTTTAACCTTAAAACCGCAGCGGAGAGGCGCCTGATCCAACTAACGAGCTTGAGGAGATAAGACACTTGGCTTACGAGAACACCAAAATCTACAAAGAAAAGACCAAAGCTCTCCATGATAGGAAGATAGTGCCTAAGTCTTTCGCCGCTAACGACCAGGTTCTGCTTTTCAACTCAAGACTCAAGCTTTTTCCCGGCAAACTACGCTCAAGATGGTCTGGCCCGTTCAAGATAAAAGAAGTCAAGCCATATGGAGCAGTGGTTCTTTGGGACCCTAGTGGAGGAGACTTCACCGTAAACGGTCAGAGGCTAAAACCATACCTAGCCAACTCGGAAAAGGGAATAGAGGAAATCATACCTTTGGCCGATGCACCACAAGAATAAGAAAGAGAAGGAGTCAAGCTAAATGACTTAAAACAAAAGCGCTTTATGGGAGGCAACCCATATGGTTTTTAACTATTATTTCTATTTTGCAGGAGTTTTTCAAAAATCAAACAAAAATACAAAAATATTTTCTTAGGATGAAGACCCAAAGGAGACCAAACAATGGAAGTGTCCCACCCAATGAGCCCACCCTTGTACAAGGCGTTTCTCTTCCAAAAGGTAAGTAAACTCTCACCTAGTATTCATTTCTAATCACTCTTGATCTTCACTTGAAAAATCGTTTAAACCATTGCACTTTATCAAATATATTTCATGGTTTAACTTGATTTACTTTTGATGATTGGAAAGAATACATAATCACTTGTCAAAACTCATTCTGCTCACTGAAATTACAAGAGATTGAACTATAGTTTGAAATTTGGATCATTGACCAAGACCAAATAAGAATTTATAGTTTGTGCTTTAATCTCTTGGATTGTGAACTTCAAGTTGGTCACTTGAGGATCACAATCTGAGAAACCATCTAATCATGATTTCAAGTGTTTTGCAAGGAGTTAACCATTTGACAGGAAGGAGAAATAAAGCAAACCTATCAACCACCTCAAAACCAACATGCATATGGCGGCCAAAGGGAGGTTAAAAGGAGATACAAGGCCATCACACGAAACAAGGCGGCCACCACTTGGGAATGACACAGGAGGGTTATTAAAACAATTCGGTCGAAGAAAATCTCAATTGGCCCGAGTGGATTTGAAGAAATTCAATCCGGACATTTCTCTCGGCCATACCGCGCATTACGGCCAACTCCTAAACGGCGTGACCAAAGTCCACCAAACTTCACAGGCGACCATAAAATCACATTTTGGTCGGCAAATCCAAAAGATAGGACGGAGAAATCATCACGGATCATGAGATAGACGACGGAGCTCATTCTGGCCGATGGCGCGCAAGCAATATGGCCGACAAAACCAAATCACGGCATAGGCGCGCCAACCGGTTGGAAAACTCTTCTTTGAGCTTAACTAACACTTTTATGCAGGAAGAAACGAAAAGGAACGAGCCAAACTTCACATGGCCAAGGAAACTCCTTCCCGGAGCCGACTTGACCATTTTGTGAAGGAAGTCTCAATCCGCTCGTACAAATGCTCCCAAACTTCACCAGAGGCTATAAAATACCAGGTTGGTCGATGAAATTTCAATATAGGTCATGAAATTTTGACGGTTTGTTCTGTAGTTCACAGCACCACATTTTGGCCGACCGAATATACCAATCTCGGCCAAAACACAAACCGGCGGAAACCAAGGCCTGAAATTAAAAACTCACCGACCAATATTGCCTAAAGAAGTGTAGAATGACCCAAACCAGAACTGATCTTCATTATAAATTGGTCGACATTTGGTAACATCATCCTAAACCTTTTTCTTTTCAATTTTTCATTTGAACTTCATGTTATGCCTCTCTTAATCCGATTTGATTTCACCGGGACGGTGCAAGTTAAGTCTGGGGGGATTACTAACAATGTTTGTTCATTTTGGCATTTTCATTTGCATTTTTCCCTTTTATCGAGTCGTTTTTATTGAGTCAAAATTTTTGTCGAGAATCATGACCTTATCTTGGATCTAACCATGATTGTACTAATGTTTAAGTGACCATTGAGCAGTTCTTGGCAATACATCTTACCACAGGTGCACTATGAGTTGATCGATCTACCAAAAACGCCTACATCTCTAAAGACTTGAGAAGGATCCATCTTTGACTCCGCCCTTAATGAACTTAATCTTCTCAGCTAGGGGCTTGGCATACAAATGGCATGATTCCTCATCCTCTCCATCAAATGAAAAAGTCTTAGTGAGTTCGTGCTTCCCTCTCTCTCCCCTTCAAATTTAAAGAAAAAGCGTAAGGTCCAAGTAACCGGGGATTCGGTGGCAAACACCATCAATACTCGCGTCTATGGAAGGCCTATGGAACCGGGGATTCGGTGGCAAACACCATCAATACTCGCAAAAAGCAAAACCTCTATAATAAAGAGAAGGAGTTGAATAAAAAAATACTTCGCTACCCTAAAAAAGGGATGAATCAACTCAAAGAAGTGAGAAGAGAGAGAGGAGAAACATGGAGTAAAAGACAAGTGCCAAACAAGGGGATGAGAAAGAATCTAAAAGCCGGCTGATCGATACTCCCTAGTTGAGACCACACCTTTAGAAATGAAAGGAGTCAAGGGTGGCGAATTGGATTGTCCAAGGAGAGGTGGACCGCTTTGGGAAAATCGCAAAACTCATGGTATGTACTTTGTTCTTAATTCAAAACTTGCCAATGCTGTTTCATGTGGATTACTAAAGCATAAGTCAATTTGGATTTCCAAAAGATTTGAGAGTTCTCACGTTTTCAAACCTCTTTTCCTGCTTAGTTTGCTTGGGGACAAGCAAAAGGCTAAGTCTGGGGGAGTTGATATCACCATATTTTACATGATTTTACTATATAATTACTATGTTTTCAAACGGTTTTTGCAAGATTCTTTGCCTTTAGAGGTAGTTTTCTTGTATTTGTGGGATTTGAAGTCTTTGTAGGTGAAACCATCAAAAAGGATGCAAAAAGGAGTAAAAGAGCCCTAAATCAAGATCCATGCAAGTTTCCAAGTCAAGAAGATCATTTTATCTCCAAGTGTTAGTTCTCGCTAGCGCGCAGAACGAAGCTTCGGAAGTTTGGCCGCGCGCGGAGGAGTTCCCGACGTCCAAAAGTTACGATCTTGATATGGAAAGATAGATACTTGAGTCATGCATCACGTCGAAGTGGAATGAAGCCATTTGGATCAACTATGAGGCCTAGACTTATTTTCTACCGAGACATGTCCGGTAAGCGAGTAAACGAAGCCCATGGAGGATTTGGAGTGTCTAATGGCCCGAGCAGCAGCGCCAAAGGCCTTGATCGAATAGAGAAGAGGCCTGGCTAATGTTTGGAGCTTTCCTTGGTACAATGTCGGCCCATACACGACGTGGAGAAGAAGGCTCGGCGCATGAGAAACTTTCCTTTTCAGCATGAAGAAAACCCTACGCGACTTCGCCCATATATACATGTTTTTAGCCGCTGAGAAAAGTCGAGAGTGTCAAGGTGTGCGCCGTCAGAGAAGAAGAGGAATACCCCAAGAAGAAGAAGGAAGCCTCTAGGATCCAAGCCGCAAGGACGCGCTCAAATCGTTCATCTTTGTTCTTGTTATTTCTTTTGGATTTTGAGTTTAAGGGAGAAGGATTTGTTTCATCAATAGAGAAGCTTTCTTCATCCCTTTTCTCTTTTAATATTCGCATAATGCTTTCATTCAAATCTTGTTTGTTTGTTTGCATCATGGCCGAGTAGATCTCTTACTAGGCCGTGGTGATCAATGAGTGCCTATGAGATCTTGTGAATTGGGAATAATCTTTGAGTTCTTCACCTTTACTTGAGCATAATGCCGTTTGCTTTTCTGATCATCTAGCATCGGATCTTAGGTTAATATACTCTCCAAAAGCTTGATTATATTGCCGGAACTAGTATTTGGTGAGCAATAGTCACGGCCAACGAAAGTTGAGTTATGGAGTATTGTGAACAATTAAATCTTGAACATCTTTAATGCATGTTTGCAACTTTAATAACCAACGAAAGCTGAGTCTATTAGGTTGTTTAAACATAGTAGTTGGAGCCACGAAAGTGGAAAAACTATATCTTAGTGATTTAAGTTCAAGAACGGTCCTTAATGAATCTCTTTCACTTGACTTCTTTGTTTAAGTTTGTTGCATCTCGGCGATCCACCATTGTCTAGTGTTTCCCCTTATTGATCTCATCCATTTCCATCTATTCATTATTGCCAAAACATTCTCAAACCATATTTTGCTTTAGCTTGCTTCAACTCTTACTCTTGTAGCACAATCGATAGGTCCTTGTGGATTCGATCCCATACTATACTTACCTCGTTGCTGTGCACTTGCAGGTACTTAAGTTGGGTAAAACTTGAAGACAAACCCAGCTTGCATCAGTAGAGCGTGAANAAAACACTCTAAACCATACTTTTTTTTAGCTCGATTCAACTCTAACTCTTGTAGCACAATCGATAGGTCCTTGTGGATTTGATCCCATACTATACTTACCTCGTTGTTGTGCACTTGCAGGTACTTAAGTTGGGTAAAACTTGAAGACAAACCCAACTTGCATCAGTATGAACATGTGGAACCGGATGTTCAACATCGATTCCCACAGACATACAAAAGTCATTAAAGGCTGCTGAAGTGAACTCACCAGCATTATCAAGCCTGACTTTCTTTATGGCATAATCAGGGAAATGCGCTCTCAACCTGATTATTTGGGCAATGAATCTTGCGAAAGCCATATTTCTTGTGGTCAAAAGACACACATTTGACCATCTACTAGATGCGTCAATCAATACCATAAAGTATCGAAATGGCCCGCACGGTGGGTTAATAGGCCCACATATATCACCATGTATTCTCTCTAAGAATACAGGGGATTCATTCCCAACTTTGGCTGGCGAGGGCCTAATTATGAGTTTTCCTTGAGAACATGCTTTACATGAAAACTCCCCCGATTGAAAAATCTTTTCATTTTTCAATGGGTGGCCACTCGTATTTTGCACAATTCTTCTCATCATGACTGAACCTGGGTGGCCAAGTCTTTCATGCCACACCCTAAAAGTGCTAGTAAACATCTGGTTTACTGCAACATAAGATTCAGTCATGTTGATTTTTGTGCAATATAAACCAGAGGACATCATTGGTAATTCTTCCAATGTTTGTTTCCTCTCCGTTGTAATGCAAAGATATTCAATGCCATTTTTGTTTATAGTCTCAATATGATATCCATTTTTTGGATATCTCGGAAACTTAATAAGTTCCGGTGAGACTCCGGGGAATATAGTGCATCTCGCACTTCAAATTTGTTCCCCTTGGCAATGAAAAACTTGCACTCCCAGAGCCAAGTATTATCTTTGCACTACCGCATATAGTACTCACGC